GGGGGGGGGGGGGGGAGTTTGTTTTCCTTAGACCAATTATCTGGAAGGGGGACTAAAGGCAAGATTTGATTGCTATGGTATTTGTCAGAGTTATAGTTTGCCTTCTGTCATGTTTAACAGCTACATGAAACTGCAGACTGATCTGATAATTTGAAATGGTATCATCAGTATGCTTTGTCCTTTTGATCACATTCAGCTTGAATTATGGAGCACTGCACTGGTGTTTTAAATTGGTAATAGATTGTTTGATTGACCTAAAATTCAATGTTCTTAACAAAGGAGCACTGCATAGCTTGAGGAAGTTCATCGTTTTGGCCCTGTAATTCTAGTCCCATGAAACACTACCGTACCTGAAGCTTGTTCCCTCCTCACAGATATAGCTTGGGAATGCTTATTCCTGGAATGATAATATCCTATCTGCATTGGATATGGGGCTGCTCTTTAATATTAGAAGTTATAGTGAACACAAAATAAAGTGATCTAACCACTGACTGGAATAAGATAGAACATATTTTGCCAGTTTTAAAGCAGATAATTTGGATTTCTGATCTCTTTCCCAGTATAATTCAAGATGTCTGCCTTAACCTTATGAACCCTAAACAGTGTGGAATCCATGGGATCCAGAAACTACATGGAGCTGCCTATTCTCATGTAATTGTCTCCAAATAATAACATTTTCATTAGAAGCCCTTCTTCAACTCCCTTTATCTTTGGAAGGGATAAAGTAAGTAATGTTAATAAGTTAGGGTTTATTGAATTGTGGTTCCCTCACTTGGGAATACTGTCCTCAGAAGTTCACTTGGCACTGGGGCTGCTATTATTATTCTTTATTTAAGCATTTTTATTCTATATTTTCTCTGCTAGATCAAGGCAGCAAGCTTGGTGGTCTTCCTTTAATTTATCCCAACATCCCTATCCTGTGACAGTGTACTGTGAGACAGTGAGGGACTGCTATAAGCCACCCAATGAGGTCAGTGGCCAGGTGGAGACATGAATGTGGGTCTCATTGGCCCTATGCCAAAACCTAAACAACTATAGTACTCTATAGTACACCACACACACTGATAATTTTGCTATGAGGCAAAGTCATTTCAATTTGTTCAAGCTTGGTGATACTGTGTATTGTGGTTGCTCTTTTGAAGTCTTTAAGTCTATTAAAGCATTTTGCTTTCACATTTTCAGTACTTACATTTCTTCACTGTAGTGCTGCCTTTATTAGTACACTAGGATCATCCCAGAACATTTTGTTATCTGAAATAGAACACCAGATAACATCTAGCACCCAGAAAAATCAAGACATACCTTACTATCCTTGGCCAGTCTATTATTTTGGCACACAAATTAGAACATCTCCCCAAAACACCTCCTTGCATTGGGAATAAAATTACAAAACTAAGAAAAACATTACTAGAATTTTTTTTTTCTCATGACATCCAAACTCTGCCTCATGGAAGGGCCAGCCATATAGTGCTTCTCATTCCTGAGGTGAAGAGATGGCATATTTTCCTTAACAAAGTATTCTGCAGGGACGTCTTCAGTGGAGGGAAGGGTCAAAATGGCAGTCACAATGGCAGGATTGAAGTCCTGCCCTTTCTACATTCCACATCAATGCACATACAAAAGGTGCATAGTTTCAATCACAACCACCACCTCAACTTTTTTGACCTACCCCCTGCAGGTGCCCTTGGTACTCTGCACCACCTTGAAGACTCATCTCAGAAGCCAGGCAGAGGGAAACCATATGGCCACCTGCTTTGGTTTGTTTACTTCCACAAGCAAAGGGATGTCCTGCTCTGGAAAGAATCTTGGAAAGGGTGCTTGCTCAAAGCAATGTTAAAGGAAAGCACTTCTTCAAAGATTTTTACAGCCCTATGGATATGCAAAAAAGTGGAAGGATTCTGGGTTTTCTCAAATTTAGTAAAGAGAGAGACTATTTCCCCAATTGTTTAAAATCTAATAGAAAGCAAATGAGATGGGTCAGTGTTAAAATAAATAAATACATAAAAATTGCTTGGTCTCCAACTTCTCCAGATTGCAAAAAGAAAGCCTTGTTGAGAGCCTGACAGAAAGCCCAGCACATTACTGTTGTTGGGCAGTATTTACAAGTTGTGAAGGTATTTGATGTATGCAGGAAAAGCAGAGCAAAATCTTTTGAGCTGATGAATTGTAGGGCTGGGCTGAGCTGCATAATCAAATCTACATATCATGGTGTTGACTTGTTAAAAACTCTAGACACATTGTAGAGGTTATTTATCAAGAATGTCAACAACTGGAAAAGCTAATCTTCAGGCCAGCCTCCTTCTGCCTGGGTAGAATTCTTCATGGAAAAACAAAGGGTAATTTACAATGGCAATATTACCTTCCAAAAGCAATTTACATTTTTGCTTACATCCGTTCAACTTGAAATCTGCTTTATTCTAGAACCTCTGCCAAAATAGCCCACAGTGCCTGTTGATAGGTAGTGTCAAACTCTCAAAATAATACCTGTGTTTGGAATCACTAAGCAATACCAAACAGAATTGCAAGGAGTATAGTTCGATCCCTTAGACATTATGATGGACATAAATAAAAAGGAAGCTGTTGCTAAGTGCATCTTTGCAATCTTGCCATGCCACAAATGAAAAGCTATTTTTCCACCCTTCCCATTTTCGTTTTTAGCTTAGACTCATTTCAGTCTTTCCATTCTCCAAATCTAATCTTGGTTCATTTCTGATTAAGGATACCAGCATAACCAGTATATGAATCATTTCAACATGGGTGAAACCACAGTCTTAAGGCCACAGGGACCCATTGCCCTATTTTTAGAAGCCTCTGCAAGTGATATTCTCAGATCTGTCTAAACTTTCAGCTTTGGGTGATCAAGAAATCAATTTGTCAGAGGACAATGGATGGCCACTCATTTTTGAAGTTGGTCCCATGCGTGCTTCAGTCCTGTCTACACACCACCGGTTTATACCCACCAATAGGTTAGTTCTGTGGAATTCAACCCTGCACAGGAAATTGAAGGTTGTCTAACTACATTGTAAAGCTTCTGTTGAGTGAAAAAGCAGAAGACAACTTTGGCCGAAGTTTGGAAAGACAAAGCAATGAAAAACAAAAATTGAGATAGGGAATGTGGCACTACAATTATAATATGGGAGAAAATGGCAGCACAGAGGGAATCGAAAAGAAGATGAGAAGGGAATCAAAGTTCAGAATGCAGATGCCATGGAACTTGTAAAAGCTTAACATCATTGCAGTTTTCGTGACTAGGTGTAATGATTGGTTCACAGACTGATAAGGATTCAGGAGATACAGTAAACAGCCCAGTGAAGGCTCTTTTGCTACGATTGAAAAGAATCTCCTCCTTGCAGGTTCACAGGAAAGGCATTAGAAAGAAACCAAAAATGGCTCTGCCTTAATGTCCTGGGTGATAGATTGGTTCTAAGCTGGAAATAATTTTGTTGCTGATTTTTTTGTTTTATATATATAATCCTGTCCCCTTCATTTCAATGATTTTTTTTAGAAGACAGTTCTGAAAGAATCGTGTTAGGAAAAAATATTTTCAGTTTGAGAAAAAAAAAATTGGACACTAGAGGCCTCTGATTGTCTCATTTCTACCATACCTGTAATGGTATGTGGGAATGACCTTGGGAGACAGGTGGAAAAGCCACAGACCAGACAATGATCAGACAAGTGGCAGCTGACTCTGCAGAAGGAATGTGGGTGTGGCAAACATCTCAGAAGGGACCGTCCCTAGTTTTTTGGACTAGAAAGGCGATGGGGAAGAGAGATATACTTTCAGACTTGCAAGATTCTGTTAGTGTTATCTTACAGTCAAGTTAGAACTAGTACTTCTGGGTGAACTTCTTCTCTGGACTACCTCACAAGGCTGACAATACCTCAGAAATATAAAATGGGAGCCAATGGGAAGATTCCTGCCTGTGGAATGAAAGCCACAGGAGGATGTAATATTTTTTGATACACAATAGCATTCTCATTGCTTGGGCTATGAGTTTCTTAATTAAGCATCAGACTGAATTTTTGACTTCTCAATGGATGTCGAAAACTTACTCTATTTCCCCTAAAGAAGCCATGAGTCAACTTTTCATTGGTGCCTCTCCAGAAAGGAAACAGTGACGCATTTACAGATAAGAGAGCATTGGGAACAAGGCATACCATTCAAGTGCTCAAGTGCTATTGTCTCAATGGATGTACAGGTAAAAGGCATGCACCCAACTTATGAGACCCAGTGTAGTGTGATGGTTATTGTGTAACCTTGGGGCTAGGGA